TGCTCAATGACCTCGGTGCCTAAACTCGACCTCGGCGATCACTACCACAACCGGGAAAGTGTGTGGTTTGTATGTTTTCTCTGGGTTGGTTTGGAATCCGGGTTTTTGACCAACTCCCCTAGGTGAACTACCAGTGGCCCATCAACCCGGTTATAGCCCCGGATGTCGGCTTTTCCTCCTCTCATTTGGGTGTGAGAAGGCAGTGGTTAGGGCTTCCTCATCAGAGTCTATTTGAAACATATTGGGGCATTTCGCGAGGTGTAAGGGAGGGAGTGACCGACCGCAACCCGAGACCCCCCGGACCACACTTGACGTTTCGGAGACACGCTAGCCTTGGTGCTCAAGCATGTTTCGCATCGGTTCCACAACGGTCTGAGGGGTTGCAGAAAGGCTCTTCTAACTTCGTCTACACGAAGTTGTATTTAATCTTCAGTCTGGCTGGCTTTCGAAAGCAATTGTAGAGCCCAGATACTTGCAAAGTTGGGTTGTTTCGACAAGCTCCCCGTTAATCGTGAGGGGTAGTGTCGTGGCAGAAGTTTCGATCGAAAATATCTTGGTTTTCGACGTATTTATCTCTAGCTCAATGGCCTGGACATGATTCATGCGGCTGAAGACAAGCTGGAGGTTGTCCATGGTGTCCCCAAGTACGACATCATCTGCAAACTCGAGGTCTGCAATCCATGAACGTAGGCCCAAGTGCACTTCGGGGTAGTCGATGAGTGCCTGCCGCATTATCCAATCTACAGTGCAATTGAATAATACTGGCGATAGGGGACAACTTTGCCTCATTCCTGCTTGTTCTGTTCCATGGCTACGGACACGTTTCTGGGTCTATGAGTAGTATGACTTTAGAAGCCTAATGAACTTCCCGAACATCCCGTCGGATTGCAATATGCACATCAAGGACTGCCTATCGATAAAGTCAAAAGCAGCACTGAGGTCAATGCAATCCCAATGGGATTTAATTCTGTTGTTCCTCATACAAGGCCGTTTTCTAAAAACGGTAGATGAATACTATTCTGATTCGTGGCACCAGTTTGGATCCCTTTATTGCTACCCAAATATCTCGGTGAAAAACTTCACCTCTATCGAAACGAAAACAAACTACACATTGATCGGTTATGATCCGTCGCAAGTCCCGTAGTTCGGGTTATTCGTCTCCATACCAGATCACGAGATCTTTGCGACTAAAGGGTTCACCTCCTCTATTGGTAGCCGCTAATTAACATGGTAAACAACTTGCCGAACGTCGTATGGGTAACGTAAAGCTTTCTAGTTGAGTTTTAGCAAGATTTTCAACTCTGTGATCTTTTTATTACATACCCTCGTGTGGGAAACCCTACGGTCACGAGGATCAGCTCTTCAGTGATGGAAGCCGGTAATCTAAGCTCGAAGACAGTGGCGAACTATATAAGGTCCCATTTGATCAGGTGTGGTATTGAGCCTGACACAGCAAGGCTACCCACCACCAAAGGATATCTGGTAGCTGCAAACTCGTCCATCGGTCTATTCATCATGTTCGGTTGGACTCTGGTGATTGACCTTACATTTCTGCTTGATTGTTGTCTAGGTGCGTATGTTCACAACTACTAAGGAGACGGAATAATTTGCCCTCTTTTCTGTCTAGACATTTGTTGGATTCATTTACTTCCTGTGCATCGTTCCCAAACTGAACACACTTTTTAAGCTCAAAATGCGCCGATTGCTGCCGTTGTAAGAATGTGTTCCGCAGCATATTTTCTCAAATTTAATCATGAAATTTAGATGATAACTGGTGGTGTTGTTCATTCTTCCGCAACATACTTCCACCCGACCTGAGTTTTTAATGTTATCGACCACATTCTTAGTTTAACAGATTTTTCAATACCAATACCCGATAGTATCCTCATTCTGGAAATCCTTTAGCTCGTAACGCTGTGATTATTTTGATTTTCCAGGTCAGCATGAATGTCGATGGACCCCCACCACCAGAAGATAGTGCTCGTGTTCCACTCCCTGGTGCAGGGGCTTGGGCTGGTTCTGCAGCGAAGCCGGTCATGGGCGTACCTGTTGGTCGAGGAATGCCTCTAGCTACACCAGCGGCCGCAATTCCCCCTCCTGCTCCACCGGCGGGATTGGCAGCTCCCGTTTGGGGTGTCGGTGCTCCAGCCCCCAACCTGATGCAGCCACGAGTAGCCGGTGGAGTTCTCCCCCCACCGCCCCCTCCAGCAGGTGCACCTGGTGTGACTCAGTTCGGTCGAGGAATGCCTCCTGTCGCTGCGGGTCGGGGCTTCCCTCCTCCGCCACCGCCGCCTGGATATTGATCAACCCCATGTGTGCATTTCACCCACTTCCTTTTTCAAACTTTTGTGTAATAACCTTGAAAAATCAATCGTCTTTTTCCTCTCTGGTTAGAAGGGTTTAGAATAAAACGTTGCGATAAGGTGCTCTTTCGGTATCTCCTGTAGCCACTTGGTTTATACTGGTTCTTTACTGCAGCTAGTCGACAGTCAAAATATGTAGGAAGACAGCGTGTTGTACTTGGGTGTACACAGTGCTGCGCAGTTAGACTAATTCTTATTGTAATGACCCACAGGATTTGTTCGTATTTTTCCCAACGAAGATACATTGTAGAGTCTCTTAGGTACATCGTTCAGTCTGTCCTGTGAATATACATTCCATCGCCTGGTATTCCAGATTGGGCAGACTTTGTATCGGGTCGAGAAGCTACGTTCGTCGACCAATATATGGCACTTGACTCATCCGTTAGTCTACTCCACAGCGTTACAGTGCTTGCTCATGCTTAAGCTCTTCTTTACAACGGATAAGCAAGGTGATGATGGTCTGATTGTTTTTCGACTTCGTCAGCGATCAATAAGTCGAAGCGCAAAGCGCGTCTTACCTGGTTCGTGAACACCCAAAACAGGTAAATCAATAGAAATTGAATTTTTCTACAGGGGTACACCAACAGTGGCTTACGACAATGTTTTATCTGGGTCAACCTGTCCGTCGAAAACTGCCGGACGTCATCGCTAGATCGGAGCAACCGATGTGCTCAACTAAAGTTTTTGATTGCCGTTGTCTGGTTGCCCGTAAAACCATAATTTAAGCTGGGAATGCGCTCGATTTTTCGGCCAGTACGTTAAAGTCAACTACAGATACTTACTTCGGGGTTATTGCTCAACTGAATGAGTTTGTCGTACAACCCGTCCTTTAGTGCGTTAGTGCTGCTTTCAGATGCAAATTGTAAAATGATGACCAAGCACCTCTAGCGTTGCCTCCCTTTTGTGCGCGAAAGATTATTGGCAAGCATGCAATGTGTCTCTGAGCCTTTAGCTTTATCGTTCAGCTCGGCACTTCTGCACCGACCGTATTAATGAGCTTCATCTTCCACTGATGCGTGAAGGAAATAACACGAGGCTGGACTCCGCTCACCAAGATGCTGAATTCGCCTCCAACACGCAGCACAGAATGTCAGGATGTCCGTTATGTATGCGTGAGAAGTTTATTGACCAATCTGCACTAGCCTCCCTAAAAGGTCTGAGTCAAAAGTTGAGGTTCAAGAACCTGAAATTCACTTGTAGATGCACTGCTCACAGCACTTTGACTGGTTGTCCTTGAGTGTTATAGACTGAAGGTTAATATAGATGGAAAAATATTGAACGTAGAAGGGGAGTTATTGGGCAGCTGCTTTGGAATGAAGCTACCTACACAGGTGTCCCTAATGTATTGGGGTTCTCACCTTTACTCAGGCAGTATCGCTCTTCATTGTTGGTTGCCATTGGAATATGATGTTGGTAAACAGGTGGTTAGGACTTGTGTGGGTATTTATACACAAATCGGAAGAGTCAAGGTAGCAGTTGGCAGAACATCCGGGATTTTGGTCCGAATCGTGTTTGAGGTCTACAAATCCGTCAAATGGTGGTAAACGGTACCGATTAAGGAACTTCCTGTTTTTCCTCAAACAATGTGGATCATGTTCTACTGTACGCACAGTGGAATGTTTGTGCTGTCGATGTGCGATAGTGACCGGTTTGTATCCTCGATTGTGGTCATTTTACTTTAAAGAACAAACTTCCGTTTTTGAACATATGGCCTAATGTTTCAGAGTGACAGTAGTTGCGGCATCGGGATAAACATGCAATTAGACTTGGTTGAGGATAGTGGGGTTTACATCTGAGCCCGTTTTAATCCACAGAGAGGCTACTGTCTTCCTTGGCTTTTTGTAATATATTCGCGACTGGGATTACTAAATTTGAGGCTTTGAACAATGACCGAATGGGAAACTAGAACGCAGTTATTTTTTTCATAGAGAATGTCGAAAAGTTCTTAGTTCTATTGATATAATGCGTGGGAGCAGTGAAGGATTTGATTTAGTCCTGCAGTGAATTTCTTTGACAACTAGTGAATGACTAAAAAGCCTCTCAGCTTTTCCGCTCTCGCTTCGTCTGCTCTGTACTCGACAAAGTCCTTTATACAATTATTGCTGTCTGCACTCATTTCAACCTGTCGTACATGATATCGAAACGCTACACTTCTTTCTGGTGTGCTCTATATATGAGTGGAAACGTTACCTCTAACGCCTGCTTAGTCGTACGATATTTGGCTTCCGGGCCATCCCGGAAGGACTGCGCATGAACGTGTTCTGGTCACCTGTGCAGCTCTGTGAACAAACGAGCTAGTCAGGATTGTTTTGGTGAATAAGTCGAAACCGTTGAATGTTGAGGGGCGAGTCAAACAGTCTGGCCGCCTGATCCCCCAGGTGGAGGGTTTGGCTTGAGTTTGCCCCAGTCGGTAAATATTGTAGAGTCCTGCTGCCTCGATATAATGGTCTTGTAAAAAATAAGGGCTCGTGCTGATAAACCTAATCGTTCTCCCTAGTGCCTGGACCCTCTATCAGTATCTTCCGGTAAGGCTCCAATGAAAATGGACTAAAATGAATATCACACTGCGTCGTTCGGGGGTGGGTGGTGATCAGACATTCCCATCCTTGTTTCATTCTGTACCTTTCTTCTTCACTTCCTTGCCTTTACCTCCCTCCAGATTGAACCATCTCTCAGCCAACTAGTTTGTCACTGGGATGAAGCCCATAATCATAGCACCTATTATTCGGTCGTGGAAATCAGCGAACCTAGGTTTCGGGTTTCCGATGGTGAACTACATAACACCTAGTACAGACGCAGTATTGAACTGGATAACAGCGAGACTACTTGCCACCTCACACAAAACGACAAGTTCTACGAAAAACTTGCCGAACTTCCAGTCGAGCCCAAACTATGATATAAGTGTACTATCAGGTGATTTTCAAACGCGCAGGTTCGAAAGTTGAGCTTACAGGGAGGCTGTCAAGGGGTAGTTTTGCTTTGCTCGCCCATAGAGCACGGCGATCGAGCACTTCAAATCTGCGCAGGTCATGAGTAATTCATATCTGGTATTTACTTTTCACAGCTGTTGAGCGCCGGAAAGATGTTTCATTTCAGCGGACAAGTTAGTCTAAACTGACTTCATTCTAATAAGCTACCGTTGGCGTGACAACAAAATTGCTGGTTCCATGGGATCGTCTGCGCTGAGTCTGATCACGCAACCGTTGTCAGGCGCTTCACGCTTCAAATTGTCGTTCATGGGTAACAATCGCAATTTCGATTGGCTCATTATCGCCTGCGTGACCATGCTGGTCTCATCCGTTATAAGGAGTGGCTTAAACATGACCTAAATGCACTGCCACGTGCGAGACAAATCTATTCGGCCGCAAGTTTAGCTTGTGAGTTCGAACCCGAAATTCATCACGGGTACTTGGTTCTCTCAGGCGTCAACAGTATTGGGGTCCTAATCTCCCGGGATCAAAATAGGAACAAATGACCTCTGGGAAATCAACTCTGGGAAAGCCTCAGGAGAAATCGTGAAAACTGGTGATCCAAAACAGATAGTAAAATATAAATATTTGTCACCGGCTTGCGAACAAGCATAGTGCCAAATCAACAATAATAAAAATGGAGGATTGCGGGCCAGACAGCGAAATAAAGAACAAACTCATGCAGTTACAGTGGATGAAGATACCAAGAATAAAATAACTGTTTCATGGTACACATTTTATAAGGTACAGGATTTCAACACGGACCAAACAGCATTTGCGCCGCTGATTCCTGTTTTAGGCCATATCTATCAGCATCGTTAACCAATGACAATCCTCGACCCTAGAGCCCCAACCCGGAAGGCGAGTTATGGTAACCGAATCCAAAATTGAAGCAGGCTTCATACCCCTGCGAGAATCCTTCCGGTCTTGCTCAGCACGTGCAAAAGGAACACGAAAATGTAGACTATGGTCAGGCATACGCAGAACGTAATCAGATCGTACGATCACTTCTTTCAAAGAACGACCATCCGCACCCAACACAGGAGGCAAACTGTCTGATCTGGAGTACGCAAATGACATTGTGCTACTAAGTGCAGATCCAGGTAAGCTGCAAGCATTTCTGGATAACTTGAATGCCAGCGTAGCCATTTTCGGTATGCGTTTTGCACCTTCAAAGTGTAAAATGTTACTGCAAGACTCGGTTGGTCCAGCACCCAGACTAATTCTAACTGCGGAAGTAATAGAGCAGGTGGATACGTTTTTTTATTTAGGCAGCTACATCCCACCCGGTGGACTCATCACCGATGAAGTATCANCAGCAGGCTGGGTTGGCATTTGCCAACTTGAGCCATCTGTGGCGCCGTCGCGACATCCGGCTATCTGTGAAGGGTCGAGTGTATACCACGACAGTTCGGTCAGTTCAAGTATATACGGCACAGAAACTTGGTCATCAAGAAAACAGGACAAGGATAGACTGTCGGTGTTTGAACACCGCTGTCTACGCAGCATAGCACGAATCTGGTGAGGCAGCCGGACGAGCAATGCTGAGGTCAGGTGAAAAGTTTTAGGCAATCTCGGTCGCCCACTGGAGCAAGTGATCAACTCCATAGATTACGTTGGCTGGGACATGTGTTACGCATGTCACCAGATAGGTCACCACGGCGAGCGATGTTCGCTGAAGCAGATAGCGAGTGAAAGAGCCAAGGGTGGTCAAGCTAAGACCTGGCACGAGGGTATGAAAACCCTAACCAGGAGACTAAGTCACATAGGTCCTGCTAGGCTCCCTGGCTGGGGACCTCGGGATGATCGTAACCGTTGGTTAGAGAC